TGGTGCAACTTGGCAGCGTATCTAAAAGCTCACTGCTGTTCCTGAAATGGGACAGCCTTTCCTCTGCGCTCGTCTCACCTCTTGATAAGCCAATACAACTCACATTCCAGAAAAGTCATCCAGGAGAGAAAACTGAAACTGTTTTCTTTCAAATTAGCAATTTGAATCAGGAGTCGATGAGAACTGGGGGCAGCACAACTGAAAGCAAGGGGAGGGAGAGACAGAAGAGGGGGCTGCCCTATGCTGCAACAGGAAAACTCTCAATTGCCTCAACTACATCATCTAACCTTACTTTAAGGGATGGCAGAAGGCAACTGAGGGAAAAAGTCTACTTTTTACAGTGTGCGTGTTCAAACAGGGCACGAAGAGCTAAAACAAAGGATAAATCACAGTAACGACTGTCAAATGCAAATTCTTCAGATAGCTCCACAAGAGCAGCCTCATCGGACCATTCAACATACTCAGCTTTGCCCTACCTTGCTTGTCACCAGAGTCACTCGTCACTGACTATTCAGCTCTCCAGCATCAGACTGCATTGCAACAAGCACTTCCAAAAGCATTTTTGGATGTTTTTATTCAGAAAAAACTTAGCCCCCTCAAAACCCAGTGCCAGCAAACAGATATCATCCTTAACATTTCAGCCTGAGAATCACAGTACCCGGGGAGGAGAAGGAAGCCTCAAGGGAAGAAAACAGCACTGAATAAGGAACAAACAAAAACAACCAAGAACAACAACGGGGAACAGCAGCCAAACGCAGATCTTTTGGAAGATGGGCAAAAACGTCTTCTCCTCCAAGTACTTTCGTTTTCTTTAAGATTTTTTGCACCTTCTGCCATCAACTTAATTTAAAAAAAATGTTTTGGAGTAATGCTTTTAGAGCGTTTCCTGTTTACACAGTAATAATACCCTGAGCCAATAAACTCGGCAGCCTGAAGTACTTGGCCTTGGCATACACTTAGTCCAGAATACTGTAATTACCTTGTAAACAGGAAGCACACTACTGCCAGTGCACCCAGGCTGCTGCAGGAACAAAAGACACAGGAGCTGTACTTCCGCCCCAGCACCTCCCATAGCCTACTTAAGGCACAAAGCAGAAGCAAAGCTACGTAAAAATACCTTATGCCTATCTATGCCTGCAAGCCTCTGTCAACACTCTGTGCAGCTATGTCTAAAAATCAGAACTTTTCATTGCAAACATCATCTACGGGCAGACACAGCCAGAGTACTAGCTTTAGAAAGGCTTTTAGGCATAGTCAGAGTACAACTAGATATGGATGATACGTGTTATAACCTATACCTTACACTTGCAAGGTCGTAGTCAGATGACAAGGACCAGTGTGCATGCAATCATAAAAGGTATCAGGCTTTAGCAGAGCACTATACATGGTTACACTGTATAAATTTATCGGAAAAGCCATTCTCTGATAAAATTATAGCTCTCTCGCATGCAAAGACAGACAGCAGCCAGATCAGTGAAGATGCACATTCCAGGAACCAGCTACTTGCACAGCTCCCCACCAATTCACACCGTAAAAGTCTGCCTTTCAAGAAGAATGGGAGAGGTAACAAGCCTTGTCCTCCAGTCTGGGAGACTAATTCTGAATCAATGGATTTATCCTTTTAACCTAGTTTAACCTAACTTAGATAAACCAACATACTTCACAAAGGTGATATCACCACCTCATCTTGGTGCTCCACAGTTTCAAGTTACATAGGCTGCGTTAGGCCCACAAAAAAGTCAATTACCAAAAGGTACCTCTTGAGTAGTCAGCAACAACCCCTCAGCCAATCCCTTGACAGAGAGAAGGCCTGACACCAAAGCAGGTCCAAAAGCACTTTCTTCTGCTTCTGCATTGGTTGGGAAAAAGCTTAGTTTTCACTCATCCAGATCTGTTCTCTCAAATCCATCCAGACTCTATCCTATTCATATTAATGGTCTGGACAAGAGTCAACAGAAACCCTAGCTTTAGTCACTTCTGATCAGTCTGTTAGCAACATGAGCTCCGCAGACAGATCACCATTCCAGAGGAATCTCGTCTTTGACCCAGATATGATTATACTCAGTTATCCTAGACTTTCCTCAACAGTACTCACCTCTAAGCTACAGTCTTCAGAGAACACCCATCAGCAGTCGTTTGCATAAAAACACTGACAAATGAGCTAAGACTGTGATGTTAGAAAGACCTTATAAGCAATTTTAAGGACAGAAATTCCAAGCAGCACCTGGTTCTGAAGGGCATTCTGCCGACGCGAGGGAATTCTGAATTCCTTCTACCCGGGTTTGGGCAAAGTAATTTTCTGGTCCTTCAAATAAAAGGATGCCTATAAAACCTCTGACATAACAAGAGCTAGAAGGAAGCCCAGGGCCAAGCTTAGCACCCCTGCTCTCCCCCTCCCCTCCCAGCCATGTTGGGCTTTGCTACATTGCAATCTGTGTGGGAAGTCACAGTTAGCAGTAACTTGGCTGCACCCAAGAGTCTCCCTTACCATATGAGGTTTAAGCAAGAGCCTGTCGATAAGAGAATCACAGAATTGTTGAGGTTTGAAGGGACCTAGAGAATCACAGAATTGTTGAGGTTTGAAGGGACCTCTGGAAACGTCCCTAGTTCACTGGCTTATGAAGAGTCAGCTGCAATGCTCTTGGAAAAAGCTTCAGCAGCCATCCTCAGTTGCAGGCTTCTGTTTTGCTTCTCAAACATATTAAAGTGCTGGACCATTATTTGAACTGTCACCTCATGTCACACCTGATTTTGCTGAAACCTACCAGAAGGGGTAGGCTACACGTAAAACAGCTTTCTCCAAAGCTGTCTTGCTGATTTTCAGATTCAAAGAGAAGTACGCAGTCTGACATAAGCTGCAGCTTCTTGTGATGAAGTGCCCTTCCAGTTAACTCATGTCAACGGTACCATCTAGTGGCTTATATGCAGATACACACAATTTTGGGGGTCAGTACCTTTTTCAGCTCAGGTTCTATCAAAAGCAGTAAACAGAATACCTAGTAAAGCAATACCACAAGGCAATTTCAAGTAAAATTAGAGAACATAGACACTGCTCATGAATGCTGCATGCTAAATAACCCTGAGGCATGCACTCTGGTAGCTGAAAGGCCATTCCAACAGCTGCTTACCCAATTCACGTGATGGGTACATGCACACGAGAATTGTTTGTCTTTCACTACATCTTCAGGATGTGTCAGCAAAACTACTAGTGACAAGCACTGCATGTTTCACAAGATGCAATTCCAGAGAACATAAAGACCCATGGGGTGAGCAGGTGTTGAATCAGTCAGAGCCCCACAGGTGTAGTATTAACCTTTATTCAGATCCAGTATCAACTACAAAGCTGAAGAACACGTACCTTGCTATCTCTTTCAGTAAGCATCACAACCATCTCACCATTGTCCTCAGTCCACCTAACTAACTTCTATGACCTCTCTGCAGAAGTATTGCATTTTTCCAGTAGATGCTTTTATCCTATTTTAGGTTCTGCTTTGAAGCAAGATAGACAACAATGACCAATGCCCAAGGCACACCTTGCATTCTAGTCTTCATCACTAAAAAAAAGAAGATGTTTCCTCCCAATGTTTTAGGCTGGACTAATCAATAGCTACTGTTCTCAGCAGACGTTTTTACTAACCTGTCCACTTTATAAGAGCAGCCAAACAGCCTGAGGATTACGAGGAAAAAAGTACTGCAACTGCTTTGTTTTGAAGGGAGCAAGTCTAAGGATTGAGTCGACTGGCTGCATCCATCAGACTAGCCTGCAAAATGCCTGCAGCCTTAAAACACGAATCTTCATTCAGTCAACAGCATCAGGCACCTTGCTATGCATCTTCTCTAGGTCAAAGAAGGCAGGCAGCACTTCTGCAGTGTGCTAGTTAACAGGATTTAAAACATCATAGTGCATAAAACAAGCTCTCACGTGACCATTTCAGGTTGCACACAGCCCTATCAAACTGCTTTAGGGCACTCAGTGTCCGGCCTCTTCAGAAACTGTCCAAAAGGTTACTAAGATGACACAGTAACAGTTGTGAGCTATGTTACTGCAGGTGAGCAGCACGCACTAACCACAGGTTACTTTAAAAAGCTACCTCACGTTAATAAACACACCTGTTTCATATTTGAACAGAGACTTTCTAAAACAAGTTAAGCATTGCCGAGAGCAAGAAAAAACAACTCCCCTTGAGGGAAGGGGAGAAGGAAAAAAAACCCACAAAGCTGCTGCAAGCGCATCTGATGGGAACCAGAGCCATCCACACAGCTACAGGAAACCTGCAGAACAGCAGCCCAAAGCACTTCCCCA